TTTGACGTTAACTACACGTTTTTGTTCAGTCATAACTTATTTCTCGAGTCAACATTTATGATACCTTTTACTACAGGAAAATCTCTCGTTCCTACGGGAAAATGCAATTCCTGGTCGTCCGAGTTATCCTTTATGTAAAAATTTCAATGATTTATTACACAAAATACATAAGAATTATGTAGTTTAAGGTTAAAAATTAACAGAATACATTTTGTTCAGGCGCAAGTCTCTCATCTACCTATATCTATATCTATACGAGTATATAGTATAAAGCAGTCTTTTTCTGTCCCTTTCTGTTTTCCGCTGACTTTTTTTAAATCACACAACGGACTTTAATACAGTTTTCACTAATAGAATCAGTGATAAACGAGGAAGGATCGAGTACATTTTTTGTAAATATTTTGTACAAAATAGCTGAACTGTATCGGTGTATTGCTGAAAGCAATGTTTATATGCTTACAAGGCTAACGTTGGCTAACCATTAAGAGATATATCAAAACAATGTACTAGAAACTTGTAGGCATTAAAAAGACCTATAGAAAAGCTCACAAATAGCATGTGCTCATCTCCTAAGGCACAATCACAATCATAATAGCAATAGTATGATTGTTACTAGTATGAGAATAGAATAAATGTAGTTCACTATTATTTAGAGTCAAATGAAATACTTATTTCCTGCCAAGCTTGTAGAGATGGCAGCACCAGAAACTGTATTAAGAGTAAATTATGATTCCCAAAAAAAAAGTCAAAATATATACCTACCCTTTATTTTAAATATGTGAAGTAAATATATGTATAAGTCAAAAAATTCTAAGTATAAAAAAATGTATTTTGTAAAAAGATATCAGTGTAATTTTTGGAATGAGGTGAAATAATGCTGATAGTTAGAGGTGTACTAATGCAAAGTGATGTTAAATAAGTGATGTGAGATTGAAATAAATATTATATTCGAATACCGGCCTTTGGTTAGAAGAAAATTCTTACACTCATAAGCTTTTTTTCTATTAATTTAAAACATATAAACAACGAATCCGAGCGAGGATATATCACTAGTTAATTATAACTTTCACTACTTATAATTAATTGCTAATTCTTTCTAAACTTTGTCTTAACACATAAAAGGTAATGTAATTTTCAGCATTAAATGATGACACAATATTTATTATCTTGTATGACATTGTCCTTCTTTCATATTCTTATATACGCTGGGAAGACGACATAAAGAAAATAACCGGAAGTAAATGGTATCTTTTAACACAGGATTGAAATAAATGGCAAGTTTTGGAAGAGGCCTTCACCTGAGAGAACATACATCCATACTTATATTATAAATGTGTTTGTTTGTTTGTCCTTTTTTCACGTCGAAACAGAGTGACTAATTGGCGTGATTTTTTGTGCAAAGATAGTTGGAAAGCTGGAAAGTGACATAGGCTTTTTTTATCACGGGAGATTATCTCATTCCCACGGGAAAACACGTTAAATTACAACACAAAAATATATTTATGATCAGAATTACTTGGTATTAATGAACTTCAATACGATTAAATAGATACGTGTTTCAGCATTTTCCAAAATTTATCCCATTACGGGTAAAATAGGGGATGAAAATTTGTATGAAACCTACCTTTTTGAGTTTTTGACGTAGTTTTAGCGCGAGGTACTGCTAGTATAATATGTATTAACGGCACAAATTTAGTATATGGGACGCGGCCCCTGGAGAAGTGGGTGGTATTTTTGGATAGGGGAGGTGATAGGGAGCCAAATCTAATATAAAGGCTAAAGGCAAGGCCTTAGCCTTCTCATGTCTTTCCAAAACTTGCTGGATTCACTGAGACATGTAGGCTTCCTGGCGATGTTTTCCTTCACCGTAAGACTAGTGGTAATCAAGTTAGAAATGATTCACACATGAAAATATCAGAGGTGCGACACCCGGGATTTGAACCTGCTTCACTCGGTTTTCCAAGCGAGCGCGTTACCACTGGGCTAACACTGCCTTTGTAGTGATTAATGATGTCACAGTAACAATATTTCTGACTGACTTTCAAAAAGAGTATGTATTTAATTCGGTTATATGATAAATATAATGTTTTGTATATTATGCAATATCAAGTTTAGCAATTGCGAACCCATTTTCATATTTTTTTAATGAGTAAGTTATTTCTATAGTATTTTTTTTATAAAATATCACCCTTGGGGTGAAATTGCCGCCGGCATTTTTGAGTATGGAAATAAAAACTAACAAGAACAATAGAGCTTATACACTGTACTGTACAGTATCCGGACTAGATAGATAGTGATATTATGAGTCTCCCTTACGTTTTCTAATATACAGATTTTTTAAACAATTCATTCGTGATTAGACATCAAATTCTGCGTTATACTCCTCGTTGTACTATTATTTGTGCAGTTAGTATAAAAAAATTCGTTTTGCAATGAAGTCTGCGAAGTCAAACATTAGTAGATAGTATAAAAAGACAGTTAATTGCCTTATTACAAAAACAATCCAGGCGCAATCAACACATCAACTACAATAGTAGAAATATTTTTTAATAACACAATAAGTCTAGAATCTAATGAGACGGTAGCAGATATTATGATTTTCACTTGATTGAAGAGGATTAGCCTATATATTATGGCCAAGTACGACGAATATTTGTCGCGAGCAGAACTCAAACCCGTGATCATGAATGAAACATATACATATAATATACAGACCACTGCGCCAGGCAAAAGTCAATATATAAAATAAAACCGTCAAAATAGTCATTGTTAGACTTGTATTTACAATTTTAAATACTATTTGTTTATGTAAATTAAACAAAATGTCACAATGGCAAACAGTTTATTTCAAATAAAGTGTAAGTTTCGTGAGGGTTGCCGGTTGGTGTGGATGTTAGGATTGTCTCGGCGCCCCTGCATGAAGCGCACACTCGACTCATGCTCAAATACGATGCCTATATCACTAAAATAACATCAATTAGATTTTTATTACGCATAAATAGATCTTTTAATATATCCTATACTTTTCTCTTTCTATTAGATTTTGTCGCGGTTTTATTTTGAGGGTTTTTATGAAATGCAAAAATAGCATGTAAAGTTTTGCTGATGGACGTCGCACTTGCTATAGGAAACGAAATAGATTTAACGGGATTTTATATGAGATTTTATGAGAACTCAGTAAATCAAAGTATTTTTATTTGGAACTGCTTCTTAATGCTATTTAAATATTTTAGGTACAGGATTTTTTTAATATACATATGCCATATTTTATATATAATTTTAAATTCACTTAGTCTTATACGATTTAGTATAAATTTATCAATCTCTTACTTTTATTTTTAAATTATAAAAATATTTAATCGACAAGTAATTAATAAGATAATATGTCATGATAATGTCAGGTACAACATGACAATAATAAGGATGTAGAAGGAAATAATTCTATGCAGTAGCTCAATCCAAAAAAGTTAAAAATCTTATTTTATTTTTATTTTTCTTATTCTCGTACAACAAGAGAAATTCGTGTATATACGAAGTAACGTCATATTATTTTTATTACTTAAATAAATATAAATGGATTTTTTTTAAATATAAAGCTTTCTTATTAGCAAATATATCTTAGAAATGATTTATCTACTAGGCAATATTTATTTTAATATTCATAATGCATTTTTCTTTATATTAATTACGATATTGGCCACAATAAATGGACAATATAATTATAATGATAGGTGTTTGGAATGGATAAATATGTATATATTTAAGGGTGAGCCCTCTCTAGTGATAGGTTAGTAAATAGAGGGTAAACTGAGGGAAGAAGTTTTTGTTGTATTATTTTAGCTACGCGACGATAGATGGCGCTTGTTGACAATTTATAATTTAATCCGTTTTGAATATATTTAAATTTTATTATGCGATCAAATTTAAAGTGTTATTTTTAGTGTTTGAAATGTTTATAATTCTTTGCCAATACAATAAAATATGTATATAATCATATTGTTGTTAGTTTATAAATGTTTATGTTGAATTTAATTAAGAGTTTATAATTCTATATTAATAAAACAAAGGAAATTTTTTAAACTTTCTTTATCATTTGTAAATCTTTATTTTTATTTATACTACTGAAATAAAAAGTAATATTATTTCAGTTAAACACATAAAAATATGTTAAGGTTGTAATAAAAATTGTAGTCTCTCTACTCAGTCATAGATGGCGTTAGCTGTAGCACTTTAAGCTTTATTTTAAATTAGTGTTACTCCTACTAGCCTTTATACGCTCGTAGTATTAATATTCTAATTTGATTGCAAAATTGTTTGAATTTATAATTAGGAGGTGTGATAAAAATATTTGTTTATAATTTAAATAATACTTACGTGATTATAATAACTATTAACGATAATATTATTTTATAGATTCCAATGAAGCTTAATTATTTTAAGAACGGTATTTATAATTTTTTTTATGTGATTAATAAATAAATTGTATTTATAATAAAAATTATTGAAAATTCATTTCATTATTTTGTGATAATACGTTAATAGGACCTATTCAATGATGAGTATATTTGTCTCTACATTAAAGGCAAGCGCATTAAATTATAATTTTCATTTAACCAGTATAAACGGAAACGGCTAAACTTTTTACATTGAATGCAATTAGCAATTATGTTAAAAATAAATTTGTATATTATGTATACCGATTTATTCATTAATATTATTTCTATCGGCAGTCTTTACATAGGTAATATTATAAAATACAAGTTATGCAAACCAATAATTATATTAATTGTTGTTTTTGTTATTTTTTTATAAATAAATAGAACTGATATTTCTATATCAGTTACATTTATGAAAGAGTTTGTTTTTACTCAGTCGCTAGATTGGGCTGAGAACTACTGACATACGTTACGCACAAATGTACAATATTACTTATTTTATTATACATACATTAAATATGTTTAAGAACTCTCTTTTATAATATTTGAATATAATTAAAAAAAATGAATTTTATAACCAAGTTTAGGAATCTGCTTTTGGGTGTCGAAGTGTGAGTGAATAATTCTAGAGAGCACTGAAGAAAGATTTTTGGAAATTTAAACTTTAGAAAGTTAAACAAATTATAAATAAGTTAATATGGGACGTTACTCTCTACAAATAAGGTGAAGCCAGGAATTTTTTTAGTTATAAATATTTAGTTTATTATGTTATATTATGTAGGTAAGCAGTAGATCAGGTCAGCCCACCCACAGCCAGGCAGCCTGCATGCCGAGCGCGTACTAGTTCTTATTATTTGTTTCAATTATAATTACATCAAATCTAATAAGAACAAAATGATATCATATTATTTAAATTGCCAAAAATGTGTATAAAATATTTAGCATAGGTTCGGAAAGTAAATAAATAAAAATTAAATTTGCATACGTCTTCAACAATTTAAAAATAAAGTTTTAAATAAAATATAATCTACGAATATAATATTTATGTCGTTCGTAAATCGATATAATTTCAATAAAATAATCATATCGTATTGTGTTTAAAAATTAAAAGCGCTGTAGTAAAAAATGTTTAGTAAAAAACTTATTCTTTATTTGTATTAGAAATTCATACATTGCCGGTGGTTCGGTAGCGCTCTCTCTATAAGCATCAGTAGCGCTATACTTTGTAAAAGCCGGAAAAATCGTAGCGATTATGTTTGTAAATATTAAGGTGTGAATGATAGCGCAGCGAGCCGCGCGGTGCGAGCCGGGAGCCGTGTAGAGTAGCGGCGGCTCGCGCGGACAGCGGGGCGGGCGGGGCGCGCGGGGAGCGGGCGGGGTGCGCGGGGGGCGGGAGGAGTGGGGCGCGCGGGGCGGTCGCAATTACGGCGTCATTAGCGGGCGGCGCTGGGCGGGGCCGCCCCTCTCCGGCGCCGGCGCGCGGGCGCCGCGGCCGCCTCGAGCCCAGTCCGCACCGTGCTGCCGTCGCGCACGCACGCGCATGTCGCTCGTTGTTCAATTCGGTGATGTGAGGTGGCCCCCGCCGCTACCGCAGCGCCGCGCGATAAACGCGCTTGTTTCGCGAAAAAGTGCGCCAGGTGAAGGCTCGAGAGCCTTCGAGCCGGCAAGACGCCGTCCACCGTGGATCTGAGGTACGGCGCCATGGCGGCGACCACGTATATGCCGGGAGAGCTGGATCTCGGCAGCATCGGTGGGTATCACGCCGCATCGCCGCGCAGCGCCGAGCCCGCTGACATGAAGTACCAGCACCCCTTGCACGCTGGCGGCTCGCCGTCACCGGGCGCGCCCGTGGGCCTCAACCCCTGGGCGTCGCTGCCGCCAGCGGACCCGTGGTCGATGCACACGCACCACGCACACGCACATGCCCACCAGCCAGACGTGAAGCCCCCGGCCTCGCAGCATGACCACCGCCACCTGCAAAGCCACGGCTGGCACGCGCCCGTCGTGTCCGCGCACTACGGGGCCGGGTCCCCGGTGGCGCTGCACGGCGGCTACCCGGTGCCCATGCATCAGCACCATATGCTTCGCGACGTGCAACCTTCTCCTCATCCACTTCACCATCATCACGCGCTGGAGCGCGACCAGCCAGAAGAAGACACACCCACAAGTGACGATCTGGAAGCGTTTGCCAAACAGTTTAAGCAACGCCGTATAAAGCTCGGTTTCACACAGGCCGATGTCGGCCTGGCACTCGGTACTCTCTACGGAAACGTTTTCTCTCAGACCACGATATGCAGATTCGAGGCTTTACAACTCAGTTTTAAAAATATGTGTAAATTGAAGCCATTACTACAGAAATGGTTGGAAGAGGCGGACTCGACGACGGGGAGTCCGACCAGCATCGACAAGATTGCCGCACAGGGTCGCAAACGGAAGAAGCGCACGTCAATAGAAGTGTCGGTAAAGGGTGCGCTCGAACAGCACTTTCACAAACAACCAAAGCCCTCCGCCCAGGAAATAACGTCACTCGCAGATAGCTTGCAGCTAGAGAAAGAAGTGGTGCGAGTGTGGTTCTGTAATCGCCGACAGAAAGAGAAGAGGATGACGCCACCAAACACGCTGGGCGGAGAGATGTTGGACGGCATGGGGCACGGGCACTACGGGCACGACGTGCACGGGTCGCCACCGCTGCACGCGCACTCGCCCGCGCTGTCGCCACCGCACGCGCCGCACGCGCCGCACGCGCCGCACGCACAGCACGCGCAGCACGCGCAGCACGGCCTGCAGAGCGCGCACACGCTGGCTGCGCACTAACAGTTCGCCCCGTGGGCGCCGCCGCGGCCCTACTACGCGGAGCCGCACTAGCCGTCCGCGGGACCTGCTGTACATAGCTGTACATACGCGCCGCCGCCGGGACGTGCCGCGGCGCGACCACCACACTTACATGTACATAGTTCGCGGAAGCCCAGTTTCAGTTCTCCTCTCGTTGAGGCGCGCGGCGCGACCAGTGACCTCGTAGTGTGTGACAATGCGGAGACAGTTCGCCGCCCAGACTCCGTGGTACGGCGGTAAGTACGAGCGGCCGCCGCGCGCTACGCGATTCATGCTACCGTGAGAGACGATTTCATCGAATTTATTTATAGATATTATAAATTAACGATGTTCATACATGCCTACGTGCCGGTAGGGAGTCGTCGTGGTGTGGATTTAATATAAAACCGTTGCTAATATTGTAAATTTATGATTAGTGATGAGACGAAGCGAAGCGCGATCGGGTCGGAGCTTCGTCCAGTGAGGGAATACGAACGAGTCAATAGGTGCAATTTTTGTTTTAAGTGCTCGACGTAGCCCGGCGACGCGGTGCGACACGACGACGCTCACTCTCTTCCCAAGGTGGTAGAGAGTAACCGTGTGTCGTCAGAGAGACCACGTAGAGAGTAGAGAGGGTCGCGTCGCGCCGAGCCGCTCGGCCCGCTCCCGTAACTTATTAAAAATGAAGCAGATACGATGCCAAAATGGTTTTATTCCTGTTTTAATTGTTTTGTTGTTTTTCGTTTGTATGTAATTGTGGCCAATTTCGGTACTTAATTTTTATATAAATAGGTATTTTTTATATAAAATAATGTTACAGCAACGTATATGATGATATATATTAAAATGTTCTTTATAGAAACTGAGATATATTGACGACTTTTATTGAAATGTCCCGGTGGGCCGGAGGTCTCTACGCCCCGTCTGCCTCGTCCGCCGCGGGGCCGGGCTGGAGACTAGCTAGTTGTATGCGCTGCACTGTTTGTTTGTTTGTTGAGGCACGAGTGCTGCTAGATGTGGGCGCGGTGCAGTGCGCGGAGCCGTTTCGAACCAAACCCTATGTTGTAAATGTAATTATTTCGTTATTCTCAACGAAGTTGACGAGTTGATATGTATATAACTGTATAAACTATGCTAGGTGATAACGAACAGGCAGTGGTAGTGCGAGCCTCTCGTAGGTAAATAATGAATAATTAGTCTTAAAATGTTTTATATTATTATCTAAGTATTTAAATAAACCAGAGTAAATATTTTATTTGGTAGTATTATTGGTGAATCCCGGTCAATAGGACCCGACGAGGTAGTTTGTGGCGGGAGCAGGTAGGGCGCGCTCCCGACCGATCGAAAGGGCATTTGATGCCTTGAATCTGTTTCGTGTATGCTTAGCGAGAGCCTCGAATGCGAGCACAGCCTTATATAGACGTTTCCTGCTGCTGGCGCGGGCTTATACATATAAAACATTCATTATATCGACAGTAAGCTGATTAGAGCGGAATGGCGGTGGAGACATGTCGCGAGGCCTGCGCTCGACGGCACTCGCAAGTCTGTCCCTCGCAACCTTTTCATTCAGCATACACGAAACACCTAATTAACTTACTAGGTGCTTTATATTACACTTTTTCCCTGTAGTTTTAATTTCTGATTTAAATCGAGCTCAAAGTAATCTATTTATTGCCTTAAATAAACACTTTCAAAAGGAAGTTAATTTTTATGACTCGATTACGTGTAGATTTAATGAGAGATAAAGATCTGATACATTTTGTTAGAGAAATGCCGAAGGATTATTAATTATTTAGGATTAATTTCAAGGGTTTTATTTTTACAATATTATTTATATCTACAAATATTTCTTTCAACTTTTGCTAAGCAACAATGATGGTTTTATGTACAATAAATCTTTTTAATAATGCCTTTTATAGGTAGGTATTGATATGGAGAATAATGAAGTGTACGATCGATGTAGCTCGTAATCGTAAACAGCGTGTAACAGTGATATTTCTACAGAACAAATCGATCACGTTATTTATGCGCGGGCGCAGGAGTCCCCGCTACGGTCGCCACGGTCGGGCCTCTGTGGTTGATTTATTAATGAAAAAAATGACCTTTAATTTGAATTACGTAAAATTTTCTTTATTGCCACCATATTTTTTAAACTTTGTTACTAAATCCAAACGGTAACGTTAATATTTTTTCTGTTTTTATAAGATTCATTCAACTCAATTGAGCATCACTGTTAATTTATAAGTTTATGACGAACGATTTGTAGTAGGTACCTATATATTATTTACATGTTGGAACAATTTTGCTATAAAAATTACAACATTTAATAAGTCTAAATGATAGCTTAAGATATAAGAAACTTTAGAATTAAAAAATAATAATTAATTACTTTGTTATTTAAAAAAAAATATAAAGAGTAGATTCACAAACAGTTAAAAAATATTTTCACGTCTCTTTTATACAAAAGTAAATGAGCACTGCAAAATAATTAGATTAAAAACACCATCTTAATTGATACAGCCTTAAATGTATGTTCAGTATTTTTTCTCCGCGCTATACTTTTATAGTGATATTTCTTCAACACCTTTTAAATGTCACTGTTTGACAAGTGTTTATTTATTGATTGACTATAAAGGTTTTCACCTGTCAATAGTCGGAGTGGCAAAAACCAGGAGCAAATGGCTAGCATGCGAGTCTCGTGGACAAAAACATCACGTGTCGACCAGGGAATATGACATTCCGAACGTCTAATGAAGCGATGCTCACTAGTGAAACGCGTTTAAAATACTATTCTTAAAACAAACTGTTTTTCTCACCTCATTTATACGATTCGTTTTGATATAACATAGCTTTGGAGTAAATTACTCTTGTGTATGGTACTTGTGAGTATATTCCCACTGGACGCCAGTCAAGCTTGGGAGACTTAGTTACCTTTCATAGAAGAAATGATTGAACGCTTGATGCGCTCAACTTTCTAAAATAGCCGATACTTGCCGTAAATTAGAAATATACCTATGTATTTATACTTCATCACATACCTAATAATATAATATTCTATCTAAATATTTCAAAATAGTCAGTGGAATTCTAGATTTTAGTTTAAATTAGCAGTTCCCTTTGTACGTAAGTTTTTTAAAAGCAATAAATATATTCGTTCTAATATAGTACCTACAGTTATTACGATCATGAGGATTTTCATTTACAGAGGATCAATCATTCGCCAAAATAACACTCAACTTTGTAGTGTTTAGAGCAAGATGACACTACTTTAACACGCGCGTTCGAACAAATTAAATGAACATTTGTATTGTTAAAAACTGTAACCTGCAGATTGGGCATGAAACACGGTGTTTAGATCTAGTATAGTGGGTGAATATAAATAGCGCGGATTTACATAGCAGCAAACAAAACCGTACAAATGGTCTAACCCCTCGTGTTTGCGCCGCGCGGTCTGATAACACCTTTGTAATTTAACTTTTTAACTCTACATTTATAAATTAATTTAAAACGTTTCGTCATATCTTTAAAAATAACCTCTAAAAATACTTTTACTTAGTAACACTATACTAATTCTATCTTTTTGAGATTCTTTTTATAGCTAAAATTGATTTTGCCGGCGGCACTTTTTATGTTGGTAGAAAGAGAAGTGCAATCACAAAGTTTTAAGATAATATTGTATATTCAATAATTTCACACATTTTTATTTACAAGTCGATTTAAAAATAAATAACATTAGATTCTATTTCTCATTAATAAGTAGCGTAGAAGTTATTTAATTAAATATACACACATTAGGCAAAATAGGTTTTTACGATACGCCAATTTGTAAATCATAGCAGATTCGTGATGAATTATGTTGATGATATGTTATGTGTCGAAGTTCTACACGTGCTTTCGATTTAGTTTTATATTTAGGTACCTACTTAGATAGTAAGTAAGTTTCTTAACTTTAAATTGCTTTTTGATTTCATTGATAACATAATTATGTACATTGTAATGTATATCGGGTTATGATTTTGTACAACCAGAAGCGCATGAAATAAGTTGTAAATTACAGGTGTCGATATTTTATATTTGTTTGGTGTTATTTTTTATGACTTATTGTTATTATAGCATGTCGATTGAGTTTAAACGGCTTTTTTTAATTCTTCGCCACTTGTTTTTGCCTTCCTATTGTTATATTACACAGTCTAAATGAAATATATAAAACTAGCTTTTGCCTGCGGATTTACCTTCAATTCTAATTTTCTCATAGTAAAGTCTTGTTCAGAAGTTCATTTTAAGACAAAGCGGACAGATAGACTTCTATTTTTATAGTATCATTAATGTTTTAAAGTAACAATTATTTATTGATTAAAACTTGCTACTGCTAAAAGACTCTCCGGAAATTTTGTGGAGATAAACGAAGTAAAATTATAACGACAGGTATTATTTTCGTATAAAAGCCACGAATTTGGTGATAAGTGAGTAATTAACATGTCTGCCTCGTAATGTGTCGATAGAATATTAATAAGAAACGATGATAGTGGTTCAAATATAGCTTAGTATTTTAATTGTGCATAAGTTTTTAGAGTTCCGTGCCCGAAGTTTGTCAAAGGAACCCTGTATGTCCGTCCGTCTGTCAGAGGGCTGTAACTCATGAACCGTAATAGGTAGAGAGTTGAGATTTTCACAGAGTATGTATTTCTATTGCCGCTATAACAACAAATTATAAAAATAAATAAAATAAAAATACAAGAAATATTTTTTTAACTTTCATAATCGATCATTGAAGTTTTATTTAAAACCTACTACATACGTAGAGTAAAAGTCGTATTAATAAAAAGTGCATGCACAATGGTACGGAACTTTTCGTGTGCGAATTCGACTCGCACTTGATCGGTTTTTTAATAAGCTCACTGCACACGGGCGTAGGTACGGCGATAAAAGTAGCCTATTTGTTTGATTTAAATCTGTTAAGCTCTTATGTAGGTACCTACAGGGTTAAAAAGTAACAAACATACCTACAAATTTTCGCACTCAAAGTATTAGTATAGTGATGGTTCAATGATATATTTTTATTAATAACTTTACAATATTTTTCAATCGTCTTCATATATGGCATTATTTTCATATTTTTTGTATATATACAGAAAACAAATTATGAATAATTTGCTATGTTCGTGGGCTAACTATAGGTACTAATTACTATATCATTCGTTAATAAAAGACAGCTTCGTTTTTCTCAAAGAGGCTTGTTCACATCTCACAACAGCTACGCTTTAATGAATCCTAATATGTAGGATATCAAGCAATAATTTTATCGTTAATTCTCGCTAATGTAACGATATAATACTAATTTTATATGATAATAGCAAAATTACTGCATCATTTTTATATTATCTATAGCGCTGTACTAAAAGATATAAATTGGCTGTTTTGAATTGTTAAAACTATTTTTATTATTATTAAATGTAGGTATGTTAACTCATTTCAAATTCTATAATACAACCTTTTACATACTAGAAGCTTAAATACATCTTTTCATATAGTACTAAGCAGTGTGACTGATCTCTAAGTCCGGTTGTACCTATAGTGCGTGCCCTGTTCCTCCGCTAAGCCGTCGGTATGAAATATCCTCACGTCTGATAGGAATCTTCCACGCTTTAAATACTTATGATTGTTCCATTTATTATAATGAAAAATAAGTAGGTACTAACACACATATCTTTTATTATACCAAGGTGGTGTTTATTTGATACATATGTATGTAGGTAGGTATTTTTTGTACAGTAAAATAGCCTAATGTCATATTAGACGCTTTTAGGTACGTTAATTTCTGTATTTGACATATAAATGCAATAAATAATAGTATATAAATGATATATAAATACGTATAATATATTTCATATGTTATAACTGCGATTTTATAATACTTATAATACAAACCCTTGCGGTGCTTAAATAATATTTTGCAACTGACCGGTAGATGTCCCACGAGAAACTCTTAGTGTATCAGAATATGTCATTCTCCGGCCCGTGAGCTGACTCCATGTAATAAATACCGATCTTTGCTTTATTTCTGCATAAAGAAAATAGAACAAGACTAATACAAAATAACACATTATTTATATAAAAACATTGTAGGTAATATTAATATGATATGAACATTAATTTTAAAAATAGACTCACACTAAAAATTCGCTGAAGAACTTTTTGTCAAGTTGTCTGTCATAAAAGTGCGTCAGTAATAAGCCGAATTTGATTAAGTTTTGGCTTCGCGGTAAGGCTCGGCAGGTGTGTGCCGACAGCGGGTTCGATGCCTGCGAGGGGCAATTTATGTGCGCGGCGAGGCGCCCCGTCGAGATGAATCT